AGAAGAAATTAGACAGTTTTTACAAATAAATGAGAATGCCAATACAACATACAGGAATCTTTGGGACACAATGAAAGCAGTTCTACGTGGAAAATTCATAACATTGAATGCCCACACTAGGAAAACAGAGCGGGCTCAAATAAACAACTTAACGATGAAACTTAGACTCCTAGAAAAACAAGAGCAAGAAAAACCCAAAGCTCGAACAAGAGAGGAAATTATAAAGATCCGAGCAGAAATCAATGCAATTGAAATTAAGAAAACGATACAAAAAATAAATGAAACAAAGAGCTGGTTTTTTGAAAGAATAAATAAAATTGACAAACCCTTAGCTAATCTTATCAAAAAAAGGAAAGAAAAGGCTCAGATCCATGCAATTAGGAATGAAAAAGGCGAAGTCACAACAGATCCGAAAGAAATCCAGAGGATCATGAACACCTACTTTGAGAACCTGTACTCTAATAAAATGGAAAACACAGAAGAAATGGACAGATTTCTAGATACTTATGAATTACCAAAGTTGAACGAAGAAGATAAAAACATTTTAAACACCCCAATCACAATCAGTGAAATTGAAAATGTAATTAAAAACTTACCAACAAAGAAAAGCCCAGGCCCTGATGGATTCACTGCTGAATTTTACAAGACATTTAGAGAAGAACTACTACCATTACTCTTCAAACTTTTCAATGAAATTGAAAGAGAAGCTATACTTCCAAATTCATTCCTGGAAGCAAGTATCACTCTGATTCCCAAACCAGAGAAAGATACAACCAAAAAGGAGAACTACAGACCAATCTCCTTAATGAATATAGATGCAAAAATCCTTAATAAGATACTAGCAAACAGAATACAGAGGATTATTAAGAAGATCATCCATCATGACCAAGTCGGATTTATTCCAGAGATGCAAGGGTGGTTCAACATACGAAAGTCAGTGAATGTAATACATTATATTAACAAAGTCAAGGACAAAAACCATATGATCCTCTCAATAGATGCAGAAAAAGCATTTGATAAAATTCAACACCCATTCATGATAAAAACCCTGCAAAAAATTGGAATAGATGGTCTATACCTCAATTTAATAAAGGCTATTTATGAAAAACCATCAGCCAACATCATATTGAATGGCCAAAAACTGAAAACCTTCATGTTAAAATCAGGAACAAGACAAGGATGCCCACTATCGCCACTTCTCTTCAATATAGTTCTGGAAACATTAGCCACAGCAATTAGACAAGAGAAAGAAATTAAAGCAATAAAGATAGGAAAGGAAGAAGTTAAACTATCATTATTTGCTGATGATATGATACTCTACATTGAAGATCCAAAAAACTCCACCAAAAAACTTCTAGACTTAATTGACAGATTCAGTAAAGTATCTGGATACAAGGTGAATACCCAAAAATCAATAGCCTTTCTATACACAAATAACAGACAGACAGAAAGAGAAATAAGGGAAAAAATTCCTTTTACAATAGCATCCAAAAAAATGAAGTATCTAGGAATCAATCTAACAAAAGAAACAAAAGATCTCTACACTGAAAACTACAGCACTCTGAAAAAAGAAATCGAAGAGGATATAAAAAAATGGAAAGATATCCCCTGCTCCTGGGTAGGAAGAATCAACATAGTGAAAATGGCCATACTACCGAAACTGCTATATACATTCAATGCAATGCCAATTGAAATTCCAACACTATATTTCACAGAACTAGAAAAAAGAATCCAAAAATTCATTTGGAACCACAAGAGACCTAGAATAGCAAAAGCCATTATAGGCAACAGTCACATGGCACCAGGTGTAACAATTCCCAATTTGAAACTATACTACAAAGCCACTGTGATAAAATCAGCATGGTACTGGCAAAGAAATAGGCCTGAGGATCAATGGAACAGACTGGAAGACACAAAAACAAATGCAGATGTACTCAGCTACCTCATCTTCGACAAAGGAGCTCACCATCCTCAGTGGAGGAAAGATAGCCTCTTTAATAAATGGTGTTGGAAAAACTGGATATCAACCTGTCACAGATTAAAATTAGACCCTTATCTTTCGCCATGCACTAAATTAAAATCCAAATGGATTAAAGATCTAAATATTAAAACAGAAACATTAAACTTGCTGGAAAGTAAGTTAGGCAGAACTCTGGAAGACATTGGTATAGGAAAAGACTTTATGAACAAATCCTCAGTAGCACGGGAACTAGCAGAAAGAATCAACAACTGGGATCTCATCTTACTAAAAAGCTTCTGTACTTCAAAAGAAACCATTAGCAGAACTAAGAGACAATCTACAATGTGGGAAAAAATTTTTACCAGCTGTACCTCAGACAAAGGACTATTATCAAGGATATATAAAGAACTCAAAACAATCAGTCCCCCCAAATATAAAGACCCGATCCAAAAATGGGCATCCGAAATGAACAGACATTTCTCATACAAAGAAGTGAAAGCAGCAAGAAAATATATGAAAAAATGTTCCACATCACTGGTCATTCGAGAGATGCAGATGAAAACAACACTGAGATTCCACCTCACCCCACAAAGAATGGCTGCTATCAAGAAATCACACAATAACAAATGTTGGCGGGGTTGTGGGGAGAAAGGAACCCTCCTCCATTGTTGGTGGGAGTGCAGACTAGTGCAACCACTATGGAAATCAATATGGAGATACCTCAAAGAGCTTGGACTGGAGGTTCCATTTGACCCAGCCATCCCTCTGTTGGGTATCTTTCCAAGAGAACTAAAAGAATCATATCACAGAGAAGTATGTGCACCCATGTTTATAGCGGCACAGTTTGTAATAGCTAAATCTTGGAAACAACCTATTTGCCCATCCGTTGGAAACTGGATAAAGAAGATGTGGTTTTTCTATAAAATGGAATATTACTCAGCCATAAAGAGCGAGAGAATAGATTCATTCATAGGAAAATGGATACATATTGAAGATATACTCCTAAGTGAAATAAATAAGTCCCACATGTGTAAATACCAAATAGTTTCCCTGGTGTGAATATTCTGCAACAATGCATAAGATTCTAATAAGATTACTGACATTTAGAAATGGGAGGAAAGGAGCTAAAGGTGTAGGGAAGGTGTGATACGTAGGGGAAGAACAAAAAGGGAAAAGAAAAAAATGTGAGAGAATGAAAAGATGAAAATAAAGTGTTTGTAGATGGGGAGGGGAGGAGGGGGTGAAGGGAGGGCAGAGGTAAGGGGAAAAAAATGAGAATCAAGACTTGCCATGTAAAGGTACATGATCCCAACAATGAATGTAACTGTACTGTATCCCTAAATGTACCAATAAACTCAAAAAAAAAAAAATTAGTCAGGTGGACAGGCACACTGGTAGCAGCAAAGAGATTCCCTGACAGATTTTCAGGAATATGGTAGAGTAGAAATATGCAAATAATTACAATAGATTAATGGTGAAATAATACCTATTGAAGACAACAAAGAACAAAATACAAATAACTGACACTGTTGAATACTCTTATAGGCTGTAATGAAGCTTGACACTAAAAAGAACGGGTAAATATTTTTTCCTAAAATAATGTTAATGTTGGAAAGGCACATTGGATCCTAAGAGGAATAGATACAAATAATTTAAAAATCAGAAATATCCTGGTTTATTTACTTCAGAGAAAAAGTACTTTGGGCATTTGGTCTCCTTCCCTATTACTACCAAAGCCCAAAATGAAACCCCAACTAAAAGCACATAGATTTTGTGGACAAATTACTCTTGCGCATGAACAGAAGAGAAAATATAATCACAATAAATTACTTAAGCACCACAGAACCTTCTGCACAGTCATTCTCTTCCTTTGGACTCAGAGGCACTGCTGTTTTGCCACGCTGTGTGGTCTTCATTACTGAAAGCAGGTGACGCGCTTCTCAGTCACAAGCTCTCCGCAGGCATCTCTTGTGGAGACACCGATGCCCTGCAGGCAAGTGTGGTGCTGAGGCCTCCCAGTCTATGGAGCTCTGTGGAGGGCATTCAGACCTCAGTCAGGATCTGCTCTTCCTCCGTTGGTTCCTGAGGCTTTCCTGAATGAAGTCTGTGTTCCGGTCCTTTCACCAGGAATACAAATCTGCACGTGAAGAGGTCTGTGGTCACGCTTTATACCAGGCTGACTCTTGGAGGAACGCTGGGATGTCATGTACCCTTGTTGTGTATCATACCACTTCTGTATTCACTGCCCTTCCTGTGACAGAGCAATTCATCTGCGGTGAGTGATATCACGCAGTCCTAGGACTTGCTTGGCCAGGAGAAGGGAAGGGTGTGATCTCTCAGAAGAAGTTTTAAGAGCTACTGGGCTGCTTCAATGTCCTTTTCCCTCTCTAAGACCAGCAAGCCCCACACAGGGGCTGCTGCTTTAGCAGGGGTCCTGGAAATGAAGACAATGTAAGGATTATGGCCAAAGTCAACCACTTTGAGTGAAAGATCAACTTGAAAACAGCTGAGGTTGGTGGGTTGTTTGTTACTAAAAACTTGGCCTAAACTGATGGACTCAACTCTCCCAGCTTTAAGGGTCTTAGGTCCTGGTTTTGATAGGACTTCTGATTTGTGCATGACTGGGAGGGCAGCCAAGGAGTGAGCGAATGCTGATTATCCTTCCTTTGTGCAAGACTGAAGTTCAAGGTACTGCAGGTAAGCTAGAGTGAATGCAGAGGGACCTTACTTTAGATGTGTTTAAAACAAGTCATTCTGGATTCCTTAGAGACTCATTCAGATACTTAGAGTGCATGGCCGAGTTGTAGCCCGGTTATTGGGAACCAACATTTGTACCTGTGTTCTCATGAAATGTCTTTAAAATCTAAGATCAGAAAACATTTTTGGGACTGGAAGTGAGGCCTTGGTTTGGGACATTTCAGTAGTTCTCAGTAGGGACAGGATGAGTTGGAGGGATGGGAGAAGAGACAGATTATAACTCTGAAGGGGTCACACTTATTTTTCTTCTTTCTTCACATTTCCAGCTGATGGAAGTTATCAATCTATGGATGACATCTTTTCTTTTCCCCAAAGAAGAACATTCAGCGTCTGCAGACTGCATTCCATTGGAAAAATGGCGGCACTCAGAATCCACTCGGGATCCAGCTGCAGTTGAGTGTGGGTGGAGTCAACAGTTTACAGCAGCCCTTCAAGGAGTGCAGGCTGCCGTTTCCTCCTGGGATGACCTGGCCAGGCCCTTTGACCACAGCGCTGGAGGAAAGATAGAACGAAGCAGTTAGGTGAGCCTTGGATGGCAGACAAAGTGGGTGAGGACATGATAACACACTGGAATGGCACAGAGCAAGGAGTGGAGTTCCTTCTTTGCCTTCAGGTCAGGGCGGTTGAACAACAGAGGCCTCAGGGAATTCGCTTTGGCCTCAAATTTTGGGTGGCCTCAAGGACTTGCCCTGCCTCCTCCAGAGTAGACACAGAAGGCACAGAATCAACCTGTATAAAGCACTTGCCCTGTAAGGACAGTAGCTGGGGGGATTTGTGAGTAGAAATTGCTATGGGAAGAAGTGACCAGCCTGGCTCGCTGGTGGCCTGTTACCCACCACAGCCTCTCACCACGTTGCTGGTGAGACCTCTACTGCTTTGAAAGGGAGGCTATGGAAGAAGGAAAGAGGCTCAAGAAGGAAGGCAGTAGAAGTCGTGCTTCTGGAGGGAGACATGGATGCTGTCAAACATGGAAAGAGATATGTTGGTTACAGGGGATTGGTAATGGAGGGCAGTGATGGACTTCATGGGCAGATGGGCCTGAAATTTTTATCTCAGTTGTGCCGGGGCTAATTTTGCTTGAGTGGACACAACCTCCCTAAGCCACCATTATTATCAAATACAAAACAAAAAGAAAGATGGATGGGGCCCAGCTTTTGCAGATTGCAAGGCATAAGTGTGTTACTTCATAGAGAGCGCTTAATGCACAGCTGGGTGCACAGTAAATGCTTGGGCAGTGCTAGTGCGTATTTTAGTTCCTAGTCTTATTCAATAGAAGTCAAAGCAAAGGATCATTAACCATTTCTGGGCCAGTTCTTACATTCAAATAAAGTAAGAAAGTTAGAAAGTGAAAGCGTCTTTCGGTGAAATTTGGTTATTAAGAAGTGAGCAAAAAGAAGTTATAATTGAGAATACAATACCTGGGCAATAAGCTTTGGCAACAAGACACCATTCCCGTTGTGTTGCTAGGTGAAGTGGAGCTGAAAGCAGCCTCTAAAATGTGATGGCAGTTAGCATCCACAGGAGTGCTGGAGAGGATGCCTAGAAACGGGAAGAGTGGCATTCATTGGATTTTCAAACCTCGTAAAGCTATGAAGATCTCCTTCTGTTCTTGGCTTCTCCACCCTGCTTGACACACTGAGCTTTGTATGTGCTCGAGAGCAGTGCCGACTCCCAGCTTTCTACAGCAGCATACGCTGCAGTACATGCTGCAGACCCTGCCTCCCCAGAGCTGCTGTCCTGCGGGCACCAGGACAACAAGGACAGAACTTCACACCTGCGATGCAGGCCGTCATGAAGCAGGCGATGGTCCCCGCGACCAGAGCTCGGATGGCTCCAGAGGCAATGTCGCGCTTTCTGGAAGGAGCCATGGATGCTGCAAAACACGAAAGGAAGTATCTGAGGTTAATGTTGAGGCTACAGACCCAAATATGTAGCTTCTGAAAATTATTCTGGGACTGGAGTCTCAGGTCTGTTGGAAAGAAACAGGTCCTAAGCTCCATTCAAGGGGCTCATGCTCACAGCAAATGGGTTGAAGTCAGGCTCAAGCAGGGGGATGAGAGGCAGTGGTCACCATCTGCTTGTATGCAAGGCGGTCAGCGCCAATGAGCACAGCACTTCCTACTGAACTTCCGTCATCCCTAGGGATCCTTCTTGGGTGGCCACTAAAATCTTTTGGCAGTGACTTGCAAAGTGCACCTTCTGTGTCATCTGTGGTAGGGCAGAAGAGCCCAGACCTTTGAGCAAATCTTTCCTGAGGTTAGCCTGGGTGTTCACAGGAAAACTACACTGCACAGCATGGGTAAGAAAATACAGCTGAGGACTTACTGCTGCTACAGAGCCATTTGCCCCTGACATGAGTAATGTTGCAGAGGAAGGTGGAGATTCAAAGTAGGTTTATGTCACATCTGCTGGTAAAGAATATTATTTTACTTACTGAGTCCGCCGATCACTATTCCTAGGGAACCGAAATTGGCAAAACCGCAGAGGGCATAAGTGGCGATTGTCTCAGAACGAATCTGTAAGCAAGCACAAACACTGCTGTGACAAAAACTCTCCCGGCCCAAGAAATTTGATATCCCTGCCGGGCTTCACAATGGGACCACAGAATCAATGCCAATAAATGTGCTGTCCAATACCACTGTCCATTGCTTCCTGGACTCTTTTTACCTCCTGCCCTGGAATTTTAAGGGAGAGCAGAATATAGTTGGTGGATTTGGAGACTCTATAGGGCACATGGAATTGGTATAATTTTTTTTTTTTTTTTGGTACTGGGGATTGAACTTGGGCTCCCACTGAGCTTGCAAGGCAGGTGGCAAAACCACTGAGCTAAATCCCTGGCCCTAGAAATGCTACTTCCTGCTTGTTAACAGCTTCTAATGTGCCATGTAACCTGGCAACCCATTGTCATGTGCCAGGCATAGATTCATTGCTGGAGATATGAAATTGATATTGGTGAATAATTGCATTATGTTTATTTGACAAAGAACTTATTCAGAATGTATAAAGAATAGCTACAACTCAAAAAGAAGGCAGACACTCAAGGAAAAATGGATCAAGAGGTTAGATACTCCACAAAAGACATGGAAAGGGCCAATAAACACATAAAATGATAGTCAACATCTAGTCACTGGGGAAATGCAAATTAAAAACACAAGGAGATACCATTAAGTTTAGAAAAAGGCTGACAATACTAAGCATGGATAGCAACTGGAACTCATGTGTTGGTGACAGGAATGTAAAATGGCAAAGCCTGTTTTTGAGAAAGTGTGGCAGATCCTTATCAAGTTAACACACACTGCTTGTATGACCCACCATTTTCCTATGAGAAATCAAAACACAGCCTGAGAAGAGACTACGCATGGATATTTATGGCCGCTTTACTCGTAATAGCACTACACTGAAAGCAACTTCAGTAGTAAACAATTTGTGGATATCCACATGAGAGTACAACAGAAATGCTAATGGGTCCGCTGATGGAAGCAGGCAAGAGTGAGCTAGAAAGATCATCCATTGCCAGGCACTTGGCCATGGGGTGGAGGAGTGTTGACTACGAAGGGTTCTAGGGAAATGAAGGAAACCTGTCAGTAAAAGCGCAGCTCTCAGGCTCAGGGACTCATTTCCACTTCGGCCTTGGTGTGGGCTCACCTTGTTCCCCAGATCTGCCTGACCCTGGGAGAGTCAGGATGCCCATTTGGGAGTGAGGGAAGGAAAGTTCTTTGACAGGGCAGTGGGGAGATGGAAAGTGGATCCGGAAACCTGTGCACAGGCCCATGGGTTCTATCCCAACAATCAGGCAGGACTGCTTGGGTAAGACAATCCTCTCTCAGGTAGAGGGACTGACTCTGGAAGGCTCTGAAGATCCAGGGCTGTTGTTCGTCAGAGGCATGCCCGATCTGGCAAAAATGCCCCTATGTTTGGGCAATCATTTTCTTTTCTAGTATCTTGAAAAATCTATAATTCACTTCAAAGAACAACAACAACAAAAAACCACTGTATTTATAAGTACAGCAGTACTTTTATTTCCTTGTGCTTACTGGATTTTTGAAAGCTCATATTTAAGACTCAAGGGGTTGTGGTAGGTTTTTTGTTGATTTGAAGGTCCCTCTTCCTTCTCACAGCTTTTGAGAAGTCCTCATAAGAGGTGCACATGGGAGGAAAATTGAGCACTGGTGCAGTCTGCTCTTCCTGGAAAAGGCTATCAGGTTCCTACTCTTTCTAGTGCTTTCCATTTAGTTCAGTTGACTTCAAAAATGGGCATACTTATTAGAAACTGTTGGGGTAAAGAGATGGTGTGTGGGGCTTGTGGTTCCTTTCTCTACCTGGGGATCTGGGTGGGGAGTACGCACATGTGGCCATGAATGGTTTTAAAAGAAGTGAAGGAGGTTGGGAGGCTTTGGTCCACAAATATAAAAGGTTATGTGATGGAAAGATGCACTGTGCAAGGGAAACATGAATGACACACTCAGCAGCTTGTCTTGTGTGCAAGCAAGGATGCTACACATAAAAGAACGACCACGGCAACACCACTTCTAACAGTGAGAAATGGTTAATAATGTTCCTCAACAAGGAGCAGCACAGTTAGATGAACTATGGTGTGCTATGCAGCAGAACACTGTGCCATAGGTACTGATGTGGGAAGGTGTTTGGTATATGCCATTGAGTGCAAGGAACAAGGCTAAATATGCTGGGGCAGAGGTGTCAGGGGGCAGAGAAATAGGGAAGATGGCCTGCTTTTCCTCTATACCTTTTGTATTTTTTGTTTTTTTTGAGATAGGGTCTTGCTATGCAGTCCAGGCTGGCCTTGAACTTGTGGTGATCCTCCTGCTTTGCTACCTGAGGGCTAGGATTGCAGGTGCTCTCTCATACCTGGCTTCCTTTTGTACACTTTGACTTTTATATTATGGCATGTATTACCTGTGTTATACAATATGTAAATGTGCAAGGTATTGTGTTTAAGAGGGAGAGAAAATAATGCAGTATTGAAGGGCTCATAATCTATATGTGGGTGTTAATGTACATTCGGATCTCTTACCATAGATGGGCTTAAGCAATGGACATAATTAAAGGATGTCACTGGGGTTTTGTCTGTGGGACCAATGTAGTAAGCTTTAAGCTTGTGGCAGGTGTGTCCCAGGATAGTGTTGGGACACATCCCACCACTCATTACTCATTAGTTGGTAGCAGAGATCTCTGCAGCTTTCCCCCATCTTGTTGGTCACAAAATGCTGTTCCTCTCCTGACTCAACAATAGTGGGGGCTGTTGAGCTTGTGCCCCACAGGTGCCCTGTGCGACTGTGGTCGGCGGGACTCATCCTCAAACATAAATCGGCTCCACATTCTTTCTCTACCTCTAACAACCCTTCTGCTCAGCTTTGCCAGAGAATTCAGCTCTCTTGGCTTACTAGAATTATTTTCTCTTCTGGCAACTGGCAGTGGGGGATAGAAAATATTTAACTTAATATAACTTATTGTTTTCTTTTGGTGGGGAAACAAACTGGATTGGGTGGCATCAAAACAATGAGGCTGCTTGGCTGAGAGCCACTGAGGTTACCTGAGGAATGAACATGTGAGAGACAAGAGACCCAAGAGCCCTGTGCCTACCAGACGTCTGGGTGAAACTACTCCTGACCTCACAACAAGTCAGTCCTCTCCTGGATCTGCCTGTGAGATGTGTGAATGGATGGAGGATATCTGCTTGTTTGGTCTTTGGGAAGCTGAGGGGTGGTGGTGGTATTTAAGGTGAGCAGGCTTAACACTCAGGCAGGATGCTTTTTCTCCACTTACTTTTTAGAATTTAATACATGCTTGGGGCATTAGCTAAGTGTGTCCAGGTAGGTCACAGAGCCAGGTAGGTGGCTGTGGAGTCTTTGGTCCTTTACACTTTCCTCTCTGGCACTGCCTTGCTTCCTGGCTGCCTTGAATGAAGAATCTTTTCGCTGCCAAGCCCTCCTGCCATGATGTTTCTGGTTGCAGCCAGCCAGCTCGGACTGAATCCCCTGAAACTGTGAGCCCCGTTATGCTTCTCATCCTTAAAGATCTGAGTGTCAGACGTTGTTTCCAGCAATGGGAAAGGTGACTAATAGTGTTTTACTATCTCTTGAGAATGGCCAGGCACTATATTGCAATGATGCAGCTTCTCAGGGCGCACAACAATCCTGTCAGTTGCAAGGAAAAGGCCTTCATGATCATCAGACTACCAGCTCCGTGAAGCCAGGCCCTGCTGCAGTGCAGAGCCTGTGTGTCACCAAAGGCCCGTGTGTCAAGGCTGGGCCCCAGGCCTGTGGTGGTCCTGGGAGGTGGTGAACCTTTGTGGGGGTAGACTCTGTGGGAGGGTGTCAGGGTCCTAGGGGTGTTCCCTTGTAGGGCACAAAACAGGCCATAGACAACCAAAACATTTTCTCTTTTTAAGTTAATCACCTCAGGTATTTTGTCACAGTAGTGTAAAGCTGACTAACATAGAGCCTCATGACTTGTTCAGTGCTGTGAGCACAGTACCCACCACTCTGCATGTCGATTCAAATGCATAATGCATTTAATCAGTACTTCTTGATTTACCAATTGCAATCCCAGCTTATGTGACTCTGAGTTTGTATCTGTATCATTGGGAGTAAACCATCACAGTGGATTGCAGCACCTCTCTTCTCCTCCCTCTTTCTCCCCCATTCTCTCCCTTTTGCTCTCTCTCTCCTTCCCCACCTGTCTCCCTGGTATAAACACACAGAAACACACAAGCACATAACTAAAAGTTACGAGCATTACGGCATCACAGGATTAGGGCTAGCTGTTTTGTTCTCTGATATGACTCAAGTTGTAGTGCCTGACACACAGAAGCACATGTAACTAGTCAACAAACACGATGAAGAAGTGTACAGAAAAATCGGGATATCCACTCACTGACATATATTGTTGCACCCCATTCACAAATTTGGGTCCAGCCTCTTTCCTCAAACTGATCCACTTAGAGAGGTGCTCGTAAGCCACAAATTCATTGAAGAATGTCTTATAACCAATGAGCTTGGCAACCATAAAGCTGTCTTGCCAGTCCACTCCCATCATAAAGGAAAAGGGCATGAAGATGTAGGAGCATATTAGCTGCAAAAGACAAAAGTAAATACTTTGTTAGAATAGTGATTTGCTTCTAGTTCTTCTGAGTCATCCTCAGGGACAAGATTGTTCCTGACGCCTCTGCTCTCTGTAGGCAGAAGAAACTGCCTCCCATTCAGTTGCCCAATGTTATCTATCAGGAGTTGGTGTGGTCTGAATACAGTTTGTCTTCACCAAACTCGCACTAAGGTTTGGTCCACAGGGTAATGATGCTGAGACTGGGTTAGCTCTCTCTGGGGCGTTAGTCCAGAGATACTAGGTGGCTATGAAGTGGTCAGCTCCTCCATCCCGCCCCTCTTTCTCAGTGTGCACTTGCTCGCCTGCTCTTCCTGTCTCTATGTGTGCAGCAGTGCAGCCCCTAACAAGAGTCAGGCTGGTGCCATCTGAACCTGGACTTCTTGCCTCTAGAACTGTGGGCCAGATCAACTTCTTTTTAATTCTTTTGGTGTCCGGTCAGGTGCTCTGTCTCAGTAACAGCAAAGTGACTAAGACAGGGATTCAGGCCAGAATGGTCATTGGAAGCTGCCTGGATTCTGTCTGTCTGGGGCAAGGAGAGAGGAGACGAGAGAAGGGGTTGGGTGTTGGGTGAAGCCCAGGAGCTCCTGCAACACGCGTAGTCGGGAGTTACTGTAAACAGGCCGAAAGAGTGGAGGGAGGAGGTGTGAGAGAGTTGTACCTCGAAACTCAGCTGTGGGTAGTCAAACATGTTTCCAAACCAGGACAGGGCTGAATTCAGAAAGGACAACAGGGCCAGGAAGGCGATGAGATTTGCAGCGATGTTTGCCACCAGAGGGATTGACGAGGAGGCTCCCTGCGTTGCAGCCTCTAGGAGGTTCCTCGAATCGCTTTATCAAAGGACAGCAATTCCAGAATTACCAGGGAGTGGTCAGTGAGTGGACACCACGGCAGAGCTCATTCGCATGAAGAGCAAACCTCGGGACCATCCCTTGGTCAAAATCTTCACCCGAATCTGGGGCAATCTTTGCGTCTTAGAATTGCTGACTATAGGTGGTGGGCAAGGGATATCTAACTGGTTATTATTATTACTATTATTTCTGGTGGGACTGGAGTTTGAACCCAGGGCCTCACACATGCCAAACACTCGCTTAACCATTGAGCTACTTTCCAGCCCCAAAACTACTTTTGAAATTTGGGCGCATGATAAAATATTACAGGTATACACACTGTGTGTTAAAAGGAGCTACCAAAGAACATTAATAAAAAGCCACGGGAAAAACTCCATCAGTTCAGTGAAGGCCTGCGTTGCCATCACCTTATTTCAGAAGTGAAAAGTCACATCACTTTCAAGTCCCTGCATGCTAGTCCCTGATCGCTTCTCTAGTCTCTGAGGTAACCGCTTTCTGAAAATCAGCCTTTACAATCTTCCTACACGTCTGCATCCCTGAACAATACATGGTATCACTGTGCATGGCTGCTGACTTTATTTTGGAATTCATACTACAGGCTGGGTATCCTTCATCGGAAACGCTTGGGACCAGAAGCTTTTTAGATTTTGGACTCTGGAATATTTACATGGTGAGATATCTTGGGGTGAGATGCGAGTCTAAACACAAAATCAATTTCGGTTTCATGTGTGCCTTATGCACATGGCTTTAACCTAACTTTGTACAACATTTCAAATAATTTCAGGCATTAAACAACGTCTAATAACGTGGAATTTTCTACTTGCAGCGTTGTCAGCACTCAAAAAGTTTTGGATTTTGAAGGATGGTGGATTTTAGATTTTTTGATTAGAGATGATCAGCCCTTTTTTTCTATTCTTTGGAGATTTGCTTTTTACTCATTGTTACGACTTTGTTTTTATACTAATAAGAGATGAATCTCAGATGTTGGCTGATGAATTATATTATTTAACAAAATACTTTGAACATCTTAAATACCTTAGTCTTTTGCACCCTTATTTCTTTCAACTAGATTCGTTTTTCTTTTTCAAAATGTATGTTTGTGATACATTACACAATATGTTTGTTTATTATCCATAACAATTCCATCTTGGGGATTGGTGCACATCCATGTTGCGCCTTAATTACTCTGCTTCCCCTTGCTCTCCCCTCCCTCCCTGCTCCCTCCATCTCAGATCCCTGGCCTCTGCCTGCCTGCCTTCCTTCCTTCCTTCCTCCCTTTCTGTTTTTTGCATTTCAATAATCTTACTGAAAGATAGATCTCTTAGCACCAAACAGAATGGTAGCTGGTACCTTCTGCCAACTCAAAATTAACAATGACGTTTTCAAACTATTGAAATACATTTTGGTAAAACAGAAGTTATCCACAAAACATGGCTGCCAAAAAGATAAAGGTAGAATATACTGTGGTTCTTTGGCTTATTTTGCAATGCTTATTTATCTGTGACATGATGTCAACATTGGTAACGTCCACTCTGGATAGACTCAGGGTTCAGGCTGCATTAACTGTTTACAACACTAACAATATATGTACATCTGCTTACATTCATTGGCTCACACGGAGAATTCCAAACTCTACCTCAGTGATTTCATAATTATGGAGGTGCCTACTTGCTTTTCTTAAGACACAGTATGGAAATTTTAAGTTTCATAATCCTATGTAGATGTGTTAAATGTTAACATTTAATTTTGAATAGGCAGAGATAAATCATTACTGCATGTTAATACATTCAGATGGCAAGAAATACAGAATACATGTAGTAACTGAACTTACATTTTTATGGCTAATTACTTTCTAGTATTCTAATTGCAACAGCAGTGTGTGCAGACAGATCAGCAATTTTCAGAAACCCAAAAGAGATCATTTGCTCTGTATTACTTTTCCTTTAGGTATAATATTCAAGATCATAGTAATTGTGCTTAGAAGCTAACAGTCTCAAATTAGTTCATACATGGATCAAACTTTTGGTCTTCATGACTTTAAATGAGCTAGAGTTTTGGGCTACATGTGGCTCGATGTGCAATTAGAAAACCACTACTTCTGGGCTACTTTAAAAATTCAGGTTATTAAAAAGGATGCTGTTTTCTAAGCTACTTATTTGATGAAATGGTTAACATATATATCAGAGATTGGAAACTCCTTTCCTTGGCTGTCGTATCTTCTATATAGCAAATGCCTTCAAATGTTAGCCGACTGTACTGGAGATACCAGTTTTCTCCTTTTGCCCTTCCAAGTCCACTTGGTTTACTTTGAAGATAACATTTCAATACTTCAGTCGTAGAAGAAAATTATACAATTTCTCTACAGAGAATAACAACCGAATTTACCAATTAAGGATCCATTTCAGGAGTAGCGGAAAGGTGAGTTATTCTATAGCAACCATGCTTCAGTTGCTGTACAGTACGCCCAGAAACAATTCGCTTCGACTTCTGAACATTCACTTTGGAACCCTTGTCTGATGAATATTCAGTGAGACACTTGGACACAAGCTCTTGCCAGAAGGTCAGATCTCCGCCATCTGTCTTGGAATGTTTCTGAAGATGTTCTCCTCCTCCTGCTAACTCCACACACTTCTGTGCTTGGAGCTCCAATGTAATGATAGATAAGGCCAACACAGAAGGCTTTGCTTTAGAAAATATGATCCTGCACTGACATGCCTGAAGCTGAACTTCTAGTCTTTCAAATTTTAGGCCATTTTTCCTTTCAAACAGCAGGCTGTCTTGAATGAGTGAATAACAGAGCTGTAGAAATTGAAAGGCAGTGGTAGCTTTGACTTTCAACACACCTTCTCCAATACAATCTTTTCCATTCTCATCAAGTCTGAAACTGTGAACCGATACTGACTTCTTTGGATACAGTAAGTTACCAATGGGACACTTTTTTTGTCGTCTCTTGATTTTCCAGCCAAATAAAAGCAGCTCAGTCTAACACACTCAAGATGCTTGGGCAGTTCTTTCATTTTAGACAGGAATCTGTCCAGTAAATCCACAGCTGGAGAACATGTCTCTGTATCAAAGCCAAGGAACTGTGACTAAGAAGATCTTTCACTCCAAAGCCCCTCAGTCAGGCAGTCATTCTAAGGCCATTGTCACATGCAGATTTGATTAGTTTCAAGCCACAGACCCTTGGCTGACATCCAACCTCCTGTTCCAACAGGGTATTCATTTTGGGAAGCAGTTTCTGGGAGTTAGCTGCTGTCAGGACTTCCATTATCCTGGTAGAGACTGTGACTCCTTGGTGTGACTGCCCTCCCCGGGGCTGCTCTCACCTGGCCCCAGGATAGCAGGCTTGAGTGGCCCAGGAGGCAAGGACACCCAAGGGCAGAAGGGGAGAGGCCCAGGGAGGGAAACTGTCCTGGATGGATATCTCCACAGCCCTGCTGAAACTACACCACCTTCTTCCTGGTTGAACCAAAGTGAAGAGCCCTTTTATTTTCTTTAGGTTGTTTTGTTTTGTTTGTTTCTTGCTTTTTTGAGACAGGATCTCACTATCTATGTCAGGCTGGCCTAGAACTCACTGCACAGCCAAAGCTGGCCTCATGGCAATCCTCCTGCCTCAGCCTCCCAGTTCTGGGTTTACAGGTGTGTGCTACCATGCCTGGTGCCATTTCTTGTTATATGAGATCTTCAGAAGTGGTCATCCTACAGGTTTTCAATAGTCTTAAACCAAGGCTCAGTGAACACTATGCTGTATTTACGATGAAGTATCTTTACACTGAACAGTTGAGAAAACATATTAACATCGAGTATTTAGAAAGGTTTTCCTAAGGTGTTGAAACAAGATGTTTTTGGTAAAGTCTAAATAATTCCTGGGAAATAAAATTTAATTTCACAAGGCTGTGTTTTCTTGTTAGCAAATTTTTGCTGTGCTTTGAAGTCGGACTCCACCTAGTCACGACCCCGGCCCGTGTAGTCAAATGATCAGTGTGTCCACTTACCCATTTTCCATCTTCATGGCCCTCTTAAGGGTTATCTTGGGTTTCTCTGTCTCGGGCCAGAAGAGTTTAGCGACAGCCAATGATGCGGGAGCGGACATAACTGAAGCCGTTAACAGGTGGGTGGATGAGACCTGAGGGTGCAGAGACAGCCAGCAGCAGGGTTAGCTTTGCTCTGTGTTCGGAGGAAGACTCGGAAAGTCTCACTCGGGGAAAGACGGGGAGGGTTGATTCCACGCCAGAACGCAGCCCTCCTCCGTGAGCCACATGCTGACATCACCCCGAGAATCGGAAGAGTGGGGGATGCATGTTAATCAGCGACATCCTTGGAGAAGAGGACGGGCAAAACCAAACCTGACCCTTTCAGCAGATAATCGATCCTGCACTGTAACCATTTTCAAACATCCCTCACCCTTAGCGCTGCAGTTTGGATGCTCAGATAGTCTCCGGAGCCTCGTTTCACTACGCCACCGAGTGAGATTGGCGACGCCTGGGTGGAATGGCCACGGGAGAAGGACTTCTGCTCCCCGGAGCTGGGGTTGCCTTCTCACCTTTTTGGTCTCCTGAAATCCTGCCCCCCTTTACACGGTATCCATTTGCCCAGATCCTTTGATCTATACGTTGTTTCTGTTTCCTTCATGCCAAGCCCTCTCTCTCCCCTCTCCACCTCCCATGCTCACATCGTCTCTGGATCCTCTTTCCTGCAGCTTTAGAATCCCCAGGTCCTTGCCTGCCTTGCCCTCCCAGTAATGCCGAGCGCATTTCTGAAGGCAGCATTCCTGTGGCAGGGGCAGAGGGAATTATCGGAAAGTACGGCTTATCCCTGCGGTACCCTTTTCTCCCTGCTTCTCTTACTTTCTCTTACTTTTTAGCCTTACTAATTGGCTTCCCTGGCCAGAATGAAGACCTGAGATGAAGCCACCTTATCTTGTAAAAAGTCCTCGTTACCGGAGTTGCACAACGGTGACTGAATTATGACATTTCTGTGCTGGGAGTTCCATCGATGTGTAGCTTGTAAGCTTCAAGCACGAGGACCCCATGCGTCAGCATTCTCCTGCCTCGCCTCAGAGACCACCAATTCTCAAACTTGGCTCTACGTTGGAATCTGAGGTGTTTTTAAAAATAGCGCTGGCCTGAGTCTTAGCCCAATTCTGGTTTTATTACTCATGGGCGTGGGCCTGGGACTTAGGTTCTTTAAAAGCCCTGGGGATTCCAATATGCAGTAAGGGTTGGGAATCACTGCTCTAGATCAGGGGCCCCCAAATTCTTTTCTGAAAAGGGCCAGAGACTGAATATGTGTGGTTTATGGTCCACAACTACTCAACTCTACTGTATGAAAGCTTCCCAAAATGGATGGATACGAACGACTAGTTTCCAATAAAACTTTCTTTACAAAAATAAGGGTCGAGTTGGATTTGGCCCAGGGCTGTGGCCTGCTGACCCCTGGTTTAGATCATCTTTACAAATATCAGTAATAGTTGTTTCTCTTCCACAGATAGAATTTTTCAGCCAAAGTAAGCTCCTCTTATGACTTCACTTTGCTGTGGTTGGATATAATTCGCATTTAGGTGGCGGCAACATGAAAATGAATCTTTCAAAGGCCTCGGGGGTCATTGCTTTTCAGTGTCATTGCAGCTGTGACCCATTTCTGCTATGCTGCAAAGCAGGTGCCTCTTGGCCTCCTTTTCCACCAGCCATGGCAAACAGGAAGGGAAGGGAAGAAGACAGGAAGAAAGAGAAAGAAATTGAGTTTTGTACAAGTTAATCCCCCCAGCTCTTACCCCAAAAGAAATGTACGCGCCCAGCACACTGCCCGCGATTGTGGCGAAGCCAGCTGTCATGATGGCATGGAGCTCTGACTTGGTGACATGTGGCAAATACGGCCGGACCAGCAGTGGAGACTCCGTCTGCAGACAGAGAGGGCGCGTAGAACACACGTCACCTTTTAAAATCTACTGAACATTCCGTTGTCTAAAGCCATATTTCTAGCAGTGAACCTCAGACCAGCTCTATCCGTGTCACTCGGAATTTGTTAGAAATGCACATTTTCTGACTTACTGGACCAGAAGAGGGAAGGGGCAGCAATCAATACTTGACAAGCCTTCGAGATGAATCTGATGAGTGCTTGGGCCTCAGAACGTGAGCCTTATACATCTAGGTGCCCTCAGTTCTAGGTGAGTGAGCCCCTATGTCATGGGCAAGCCTTGCCGATTCTTAGGAGGCTATTTCTGCAGTGCCTGCACCTTGCCCCGGAAGGAGCCTTGGGAGGACTTGGTGCACTTTTCTAACAGTTGGCAAAGCAAATGCCCAGTGCCTGGCCTGGTGGACCGGGGGCTTCCAAACCACCATGACTTTCTGTCTCCCAGCCTCGTCTTCAGAGTCTCAACCTGTTTTCTGGGACCTCCTAGGAATGAAGGCACGAGTATGTAAAAAGATACCAGCAGTGATAATGACAGGGTGCCTCCAGGCCTTTTCACAACTCAGAGTCAGAGACCTTTCTCCCGGATGAAAAGGTGCTGCAGAGTACAGCTCTAGAGGCTGAAATTTCATTCAGGAGGACAGGCGGCCTGCGGCGTGGGGCTCTCCATCAATGATAACTGCACTTGTAGCATATTAAGTGTCAGACTGAGCACCACGGAAGCATTTGTGCAATTTTACAATGTTTTCATTATTTGTAATTGTTCTGTGAGGTTGACTGTGTTGAGCTTCAGTTCATAGATTAAATAGGAGCCCAGTCCGGAGCCCACTTTTCCTGCAGGTGGTAACAATCAACTTAAGATGGTGCCCTGATTAGTCCTCAGAGACTCTGCACCTGTAGTGACGATAACTTCAGCTCCTAGAGAAGGAAGCACGCTCCCCTTCAAGCTCCCCACATGAAGGCACGGCCAGACAGTGCAGTTATAACCTTGGGTTACGGCCAAGCATTTTTCTGCATGACTCGGCTTTTGCTTCAAGCCCCATTTCCTTAGGCAGTGGCACTGGTCAGTATATTCACACTTGGCTTCGGGAGCGTACAATTCCAGTCTCACAGAAGCTGGGGTCTTGAGTGATAACTGGCTCATCATTGCTCACAAGGACTTCAGGCAAGAAAAGTGTCTATCCGCGCAATAGATTAAGGAAGTAAAACTTGTAGCCTAAAAGTTCCTCTTTGAGGAGAAGAGGAAACCTAAAAGCATTTTTCTTTAGGCTCTGGACATTGCCTATTCTAGGGATTCCTTATTTGACACCATTTCTCCACCCCACAAGAAGAGGCAGCACTGTGATCTAGTCTTGGCCCGTGTTTTGCAAAGAAAGTATCCCGTTTTAGCAGGTGTTTTGCTTTGTTTTGGTATTTGGTTAAAACTTACTTGTCCAACAAATATATTGCCAGCAGCAACTACAGACTCAATAGGAGATGACCCCATAGTAACTAGCATTGTCCATCCAACCTAAAGGGAAGAAAGGGACAAGGTCAGTGAGAACTATATGTATACTGCAGCAAACGTCAAATAGGGATAAAACTCACGAAACTAGAGTGAAGGGATAAGGCCTTCAGTAAGTGTTGGCAGGTTAGTGGTGGTGCTGATGTAGGTACGACTCATCTAGGATGCGATGTGTTATATAGAGGTGTGATTGGAGGTGGAAAGCCATTTTCAGCCATCTTCACTGCCATGTACATTACAGTGCAGAATGTGAGGAGGAAGTCATATACAGCAAGCTCGTCAAATCCTCCTACCGAAAGTCTGCCCTTGTAAATACTTTTAAAATGTTAAGCTGGGCGTGGTGGTGCATGCCTGTAATCCCAGCACTCAGGAGGCTGAGGCAGGAGGATTGCTGTGAGCTTGACACCAGCCTGGGCTACATAGTGAATTCCAGGTCAGTCTCAACTACATAGTGAGACCCTGTTTCAAAAAACCAAAAAAAAAAAAAAAAAAACAAACAAACAAACAAAAAATTAAAACCTACAGTCAGGAAATTATGATCCCTGGAGCTGTAACTGTAATTCTGATTTCTGCTGGCATTCTGGTTCCCTCTCCTATCTTTCTTTCTGTTTATACATTTTGATTAATTTATAGGGATCAAAAGAGGGCTGTGGCTGACCCCCAAGCCCCACATGCATGCTCTGCTCTCATGAGCATCCAAACTACTCTACGTATTTCCTAGTGTCTGACTGAATGTGAGGTTAAGATTCAGTTGCTGTGGAAGAGGAGCGAGGTGAGTAGCTCTTCTCTTTCTTCCTCTTCTCTTCCTCCCCCTCCCTCCTCCTCCTCTCTGTCTCTCCCTCCTTCGCCCTCTCCCTTCGTCCTCCTTCCTTATCTTTCTCCTCCTCCTCCTCTTCCTTCTTCTTCACGACTGTGTGCCTATGTGACTTCCTCCAGAGTGAAACGAAACTTCTCCTCACTTTGATTGTCTGTAACCTCCTGAAGACCAAAGACCAGCACGGCTGTGGTAGGCAGAGCACGGAAAACCATGAGGAAGGGACAACACTGTCTCCCCCAGCAGGCATCTGATCTGAACTCCTTGGCTAAAGAAGTAACTGCTGTGATTTCATGGGGTTCTCCAGGGGGCTGCAAATCAAAGCCCTGCTAGAAGTCCCCGAGATAAAATTCTCTGTGTGGACACAGGGATTTGAATCTAAGAACCTGAGTGGGAACAGATGTGAATCTTTGGAGAAAGAGAAAGCCATCTTGGAAATGCCCGGATAAAAACCATCTCAGGTTGTGTACCCGAAGTAATCAGCTCTATACCTGCCGCCCAGTCCCTCCCAACCCAGTACCTTTCTGATGACCCACTGCATCAGTCCCAGGTAGTACAACATGGACATCACAGTGCTGAAGAAAACCACGATGGGCAGGATCTAGGGTTGGGGAACGGGGCAAAGTGAATGGGATCAGTGTCGACCTTTGTGCATCACGAGCTTCGTATTTGGTCTCCTCACTGCCTCCTTATCTCTGACACAGATACCCTAACGATCCTGGAAATTCCGCTCAAAGAGCAACACTTTCTCCAGGCAGCCTTATTCTCTATCATCTCTCATCCGGATTTCTTCTGTGGCCTCAAAAGTTCATGTGTATCTCCAATAAATACACTTTGGTGTTTGGAGCAGGGTGTTTGGGTAGTGGTTAGCATTAGATGAGATCATTAGAGTGAGGACCTCTGGATGTGCGGTGAGCTTTATAGAAGAAGACAGACCTGGAAGGGGATTTATCTGCCTTGCCACAGGAAGTTCCCTGCCAGTTGGGTGCAGCAGGAAAACCCTCATCCATGCCAGCACCTTGATGCCAGACTTCTCGGCCTCAGATCGGTGAGCTAAATAAACTTTTGCTTTCTATAAATTATCTAGTCCCAGATGTTTGGCTATAGCTACAGAACACAGACTAAGACAAGTAAATTTCACAGCAAAGTTGACATTTTGGTTTTTCTCTTCTACAATAAACTTTTCTTACTAAGAGAAAGAATGTGGTTTTGAATGGATCTGTAAGGCCTGATCATCAAACAGAAAGCCATCGGCAAACTAATGTCCTAGTATTAAAAAGACATGGCTGTCACCACTACCATAATCAGGAGGTGTCCTGGGTCAGGATTAATTGTGAGCCAACCAAATCCTTGTTTGTAGTAGCTATGCAGACCAGACAAAGCGTGGCAGGTCCTGGCACATGGTGCCTCCTATAGAGTAATCATTTACTCTTTTAGAATCATAATTATTTCATCCATAGTCTTGAATCACTAAAAACTTTTGAGGCCGGCTTAGTTCTGTGGAAGGAAAGCTGTGCTCTCCAGGTCCCGTTTTTCCGATGCTCTCTGGGGGTCTTCACTGCAGCCTGTGTTTCTACAGAGAGCAGATTCTAGTTTCGTGGAGCAGGGGAGCCGCCGCCATCCCTGCTCAGCCCTCCCCTGCACTTCTTCCCCACTGCTTCCCTGCCGATGGCCGCAGACAAGCCATTGCCAGGGGCACGGCACAACCAAGGACAGTTCGTACAAGATCTAATTTAGAAAAATCTATTCATAATATGTCCCGAAAGTCATTCTGTGCCAGTACTCAGAGCATACTCACTGGAAGACATTCATTAGCTTTAATTGGTAGGCAGAGCTTTCCTGAAAGCTTGATGCAGTTAAGGGGCTCATCCAGGGATTCTGCATTGGCAGAAAGAACAGAGGCCTCTGCCTGGGGTGGTGAGAGGGGTCACAGGCACTGAGATGCTGCAGAGGCTGGGCTGAAAGTTATTCCTTCTCTGTGACTCTGTGTTTTCCAGTGCTGAATTCAGTTCACAAGATGAGCGTATTTCTATCTCAGGCTATAATCACTTGACCTTTTGGACATGGCTTAGTTGTCTCCCCATCGAAGCATCAGGCTTAGACAAGAATCAGATCCTGGTCTCATCACGGCACATTTATTAAAAGGTCACACTGTATCCCAGGACTGTTATGTGTCAATTAAAAATAAAAATTAGTTAACTCATCTTCTAGGGTCCTTCTTTTCCCTGAAGCCCAGGACACTGTAACCCACAGAATTTTTCTGAAGTACCTCTTGCAATGCCACCCCCCAGTATCTGATGAGTCCTGATGAGTCCCTTAATACTGCAGAGGAGTAACACAGTGTAATATGTTCACTCCACCAATTTCAGATAGCACTGTAAACAAAAAATGGTGGCTACAGCAAACACAGATAGTATATACCTGGCTTTCGGTGTGTTAGGTTCTATCTGGACATCTACAAAGACCGAGAAGCTAGTGAAAAGGCAATGACTACTTGCTGGGGATTTAGCTCAGTGGTTCTGCTGCCTGCCTCGCAAGCACAAGGTCCTGAGTTTGATCCCTGGTACCAAAAAAAAAAAAAAAAAAAAAAAAAAAAAGGCAATGACTACAAGAAAAAGGGGTGGCATTTACCTTAAATGCGAAGAAGTGGTCTGTATACTTCTCACCAAAGACAAAGATAGCACCAGCATCAGTGTACCCCAGGAAAACCTGAGCTCAAGAAAAGAAAAAGGATCATTACAGCCACCGAGGTGGGGGCCACAAGCCATAGGAACACTAGATTGTGCCGAGCAGGAGGACCCAGCTTTCCCAGACTAGGGGAGTTAGTGTCCTCAGTTTTGCGCCTCTGTGCCTGGCACGGAAGTGTAGCTTTGAATTATAACTGCAGACAGGTTCCTGTCATTTCTGACATTCAGTCTGACTCCAGGACACTAAAGGAAAGGCTGAGTGTGGGAACAGAAGGACATGGGGGGCACTAGTTACCACCAGATGCAGAGGATGCTCTGGGTACCGGTCTTAGAAGTATGGAGGCCTGGAGTAGGACAACAGGCACAGCCACTGGGGATGATGCATGGATGACAGGGGTGACTAATTAGACAGGTTAACATATTTGACATAAACAGGTGTTTGTCTAATTGATACTACAGAATTAAAATTTGGGTCAAGTATTGCAGGCAAACAAAGCCAGGTCTGACATATCTTAACGACTATATCCAAATACGAAGTGCCCCTTAACAGTAAAACATTCTTTTGAACCTTACCTGAACTTGTCTGCCCAACCAATCAAAAGCAATGAATCCAGGCTTAGTCCTTAGGATTAGGAGACCAAGAAGAAACTGCAATCCAATTCCCCAGCAGACAGGTCTCCAGTAAACCTACCAAGAGAGGTGATGAACAAGATCATCTTGTCAGGAAGCCAGTGCTGGCCACACATCTCCCTGCAGGGGTCGCTGTTTCCTGGAAGCACCTTCGGGATGGCTGGAAAGTCCCGCAAACCCTTCATTAGAGGCCCAGGCAACCTTGAACAGAGAATCTTTTTTCTTTTTCTAGGAGCTGGAGATTGGACTCAGGGCATTCACACTGAGTGAACCCCCACTCCCCAGCTCTTTTAATTTATTAATTAATTTTAATTTGAAACAAAGTACTACTAAGTTGCCCAAGCTGGGCTCCAATTTGTGATCCTCCTGCCTCAGTCACCCAGAGTGCTAGGATTCCAGGAGTGCACCACCATGCCTAGAGATTCTTCTGACAGAACCATGCCTTAATAATCTCAGGATTGTGTTCCCTCTCTCTGAACCTGAGTGGGAACCCTGTTAGTCCTGTCTTCACAAACTTTCCTGTGTAACCACTATGCCCTGGTAAATACTTTAGACACAAAGTGTAGTCTAAGAAGCGTCATTATGTTTTAGGACTACAATGGCTGGGATGTCTTTCCTAGTCATACTGTAAATATCATACATGTAGAATTACTTCTCTTGCTTGGAAAACGGAAAAGCAGAATATCATTTCTCTGTGTCCATGGTTTGTTGATCTGACAACTTGTAGATGCGTGAAGTGAAATTCTGCCTAATTGAGGGGCTTTTGTTTCATTATAAAAGGAACCAGGGACTTCAGTGCAGACCCATGGAGTACAGCAGAAATGAACCATTATCTGCTTCCATCTTTGGTGAGAAAAGAGTGTCCCAGCTCTGGGAGCAAGGGCATGGAAATGGAGAAAGTCACTTGAGCAGGGAAGACACTGCAATGTGGATCATATTAGGTGAACTTGTCTCTGACCAACACTTTCTCCTCGGGTTGAGTTTCAGCCCAAGAAACCTTCCAGAGCTTGCCATTATGGTTCATCAGTGAGCACCTTTAGGTCTCAGAATTCTTGCCATTTTCTAGGTTAAGGCTGACAGAATAAGGATGAAGATGAGTTCTATGGGGAAAAACTGTATGAGGACAAATTTTTGGAGTCAGAATGCCCACAATGCGAAGTGAACGTTTTTTTTTTTTTTTTGGCACCGTGGATCAAACTCAGATGGGACCTTGTACTTGTGAGGCAGGTGGCAGAACCACGGAGCTAAATTCCCAGCACAAATTGAGCTTTGATAAGCTGCAGGGCCCATTGTAGAATGTTAGATAAGTTACAATCTGGGAAAATCTGTATCAAAAGGAGTACACTCTTCTCACTGTGTGTTGATGGAGGCAGCGGGTATATGAGTAGAAATTAGACTTTGACAGGAAACGGGTGACTTGCTGTCTGTGTAACTGGGAGATATTGAGAATGAAACATTACGTAGTGCTTTGAAAGACCCAGAAGAAGGGCACCCTCTCGACCTTGAGTCACCACAGCAGAGTAAGAAAAACACTGGATGGTATAATTCTTTCACACCAGTTTGATCCATTTGCACCTGGGAAAAAGAAAAGGTGAAGGTATCCCCGAAAGATCGGTTTCATATTTACTCTGGTTGGGTGCTTGGAAAACAGAAATAACAGGATAGTGTACATCACGAGCCCACCGAAGGACACCAAATGCTGTTGTCCCAACTTGGCGGTGTCGAGGATCAGCCAGAAAGTAATGCCCAGGATCAACAGGCTCCACATGACCCTGAGGAACAGAAGGGTGTTGGCATCACTTACTGTTCTAACTTGAACATAGCAAGGAGGTTTAAACTAACAAGCAAAATAAAATAACAAGAGCAGCACACCCTGGCACCAGGAAGCCGTGCTTTCAGAAATCACAGCACACCCTTTCTGGTTGTGACTATAATGGAAAATAGCCCCCGAATTAAGCAATGTGTCCCTTTCACTCTACAACTCAGGCTCTTCCCTAGTTCAAGGGTGTGCAAAGGGTCAGAGAGGGGAAAGGATGTTTGGAGAGGGCAGTCTGGTGATTTTTGGGAGCTCTACTTTGGGGGATTCTTCACCCCAGCTTTTGAGGCTGGTGAGGTGGCACCTTCTTCCCTTTAAGGCAGAACCTGAAATGTGTTCTCTGCAGCTGCGGGACCACAACAGAGCTGAACTTTAATCGGGCTGACGTCCCCAAGGGAGAGTCCAGTGGGCACAGCCAGGCAGACTCACTGCTTGGATGGCAGACTAGAAAGGCTGCTGGGTGGGGACTGTACCACCTGGTTTGTTAGGTCAAGGACGTGTGAAGGTTCCCGGTAGATCCTGTGTGGGTCTTGGCAGAGATGACCAGGGCTGGGACCTACCTACCAGGGCCGCTGGAGGGAGACAAGGTCCACAGTGCGAGGCTGAGTGCAAAGCCCTGAGCAGTCACTGCAGGATGCAGGGTCTTTTGGGAAGCAGTCCCTTTATTTTTATTTTAGTTTATTTTTTCCACCTGCCTTGGATTTTTTTTTTTTTTTTTTCATTTTGTTCCTCATTGAGTTTATCGGTACATTTTAGGTGTACAGTACAGTTGTATTCATTATTGGGATCTTGTACCTTTACACGACAGGTCTTGGAGGAGTCCCTTTAACAACTCACAAGGCTTCTTTCCAAGGAGATAGGACAGTCCTGACCCTGACTTTTCTCCTGGCTGTGAGGCTGGTAGAGAAATAGGTAACAGGGAGAAAGAAGAAATACAAGCCAAAGCCGGGGCAGAAAGGCCTTTGGTCAAGCTCATAGTTTTCACTGTTATACGGGATGGCACATCTCAGTATTAAAATTATGCCTGTGGCCACTGGGCTGTTACCCAGGAGTGAGCAGCAGGGTCATGGAACTTTGCCGTTTTCACACAAAGTATGGGGTAGCTGGCTGCTACTGAATAAAATGAAAAGGATGACAGATGAAAAATTAAGTTCTATTCTGATCACAGTCTATGGGGTCATGATTTGAACATACTAATTGCACAAAAAGTCAAGGGCTAGTGGTCCTCAGCACCAAGGCAATGTTTTAAACCCTAGTTCTTAGGAGCAAGAGGCATGGAAAAAAATTAGAGACAATGAAAGCCAAATTTAAAAGTTTTTGGGTTCACAAGCCAATAAAGGAATGCCAATAGAGACACCAGTTCACATCAAAAGTGGATTAAAAAGGTTCATGCTCACCACAACACTTAAATGGCCCCAAAATGTAAGTGAAACAAATGCTAAATCATAGAGGAACTACACATCAAAGAGGACAAAGATTGAATGTATTCTATGATCCCCATTTGTAAATATATTTTAAACAGGGCCAGAGATTTGGCTCAGTGGTTTTGCCCTCTGCCTCACAAGCTCAAGGTCCCAAGTTCGATCCCCAGTACAAAAAATAAAAATAAAAAAATTACATATATGACAAGATATGCATAACTTGTATAAGAAAAAAATGATGCAAAAAAGGAAAGGTCTTTGCAGATATGTTGTCAGCATTCTCCAGCATTGCTCCGTGGAGACCAACTCTTTAAACAGGTATTGCAGGTGGGTGGCATCCATGCTGCTGTGCCCTATTCTCTGCCAGGACGGGCACCACTGACTGACCATGATGCCACCTCACTGACAGAAGGACAAAGAGCTGAAACTGGACCTGGGATGACTCACGCCTTGCACTGCCCTCTGTCCTTAATGGCTCTTTGATATGTAGGCATGTAGGTGTCTCCGATCCGCATACGGAGGCTATTAGATGCTGTGTTTCAGGCAACGTCTTATCATTTAGCAGCACTTGATGTTAGGGTGGTTTTTAGGGACACCGAATGCCTCGTAAATGGGTCATGGCCTCATCTAAGCCTTGATTTCCTGTCAAGTGAAGGTGTTAGAGCGGATTATTCCTGAGCTTGCTTCCAGCTTCAGTACCTCAGAGATGAGAAAGCCATTTTAGAACACATATTTGGAACAGTGTTGGGAAAGGCTAACATCCCTCTTAACCGCAGTAAGAGAACCAGCTGCATATTACCACTTCATCCAGAACCAATGGCTGTCCAGAAGCTGTCGGCCCGGAGATAGGATTTCATCAATGTGATGTTCATATCTGGCCATCAAGTGATCCCAGCCAATGAAAACGACAGCAGCCACCGTGACCACAAAGAGAGGAAGGGCTCTGTGAAAGTTCAGCACGCAGGCTGCAATCACCACGGCCAGATAACCTGTTCAGGAGGCAAAGGCAGACACTGAACACACCTGGCTGAGGCAGGGGAGGTCTCCTCAGGAATTTACTCTGAGCAGGGCTGCTGTGGTGCGGGCACTGGAGTTTCTCTCCCTCTCCCCGACCACAGAAAGGCCCCAAGACTCTCAGTGCTAGGAGGAAAGGGTGCCATCTTTCCCCTGCAGGGCCTTCTGAATTCTTCAGTCCTGATGCTTGATCACAGGCTTCTTGCTCGGGACCTTTTATTTCTTGATAGATGTAGGCTCAGTAGGTGAGCATTCAGAGAAAGGCCAAATACTGGAGCAACCACTGGCAAAGAGGCATTGATTTTCCTGGCTTGCAGCTCAGATTTGGCCTAAACTCGAATAGGAAAACAGACCCACTGTCTCCAAGTGTCACAGAAGAAGGGAAGGGTAGTAACTATGGTGGCTGCTTTGAAGAGCAGACTGTAGGGTAAGAGTAAGATTTGCTACTCTTATAGGTGAGCAAACAAAAGTCTGCACATTAAATCTGGCTAGCTTCTTGTTTTATGGGTAGCACGACTGTTGCATTTTTTCTACTTGTATTTGTATTCTACAAATACAGCGGTATTGGAACACAACCATGTCTTTCTGCTATGTATTGTCTACGGCTGCTTTTTTACTACAGTGGTGGAGTTGCGCAGTTTTGAAGGCATACTCAAATACTGCCAAGCCTTAAATACTGTCTAGCCTGGTACAGGGAAAGATTACCCATTCTGCGGTTTCTCATTCTGGCTGTCTGAGCACCAGTAAAACCTTTGCCCTGGGTTGAACAGCAATCTTAGAGTAATGTCTGTGGGAGTAGAGTAACGTTGGATGGCAGTGTTTACACAGATAGGTGTAGTGCCTTTTGCTTCACAGGGAATAAAAACGAGAGACATCTTCCTGCCTTCAGGAAAGATGAACGGCCTACATGGCCCTAGGTTCTTATCATGTCCTCATTACCTGCAGTTAGGTGCCTGTCCATTACCCAGCTTTCCAGATTGCATTAAACAGTGCACCCCTCAAACCCATAACTCAAAGACAAAGATAATGGTGAGCCCCAAGAATGGGGGAGGTTCTGTGGTTTGGACGTGTCCTCCAAAAGTTCAGGTGTTGGAAACTTAGCCCCCAAATCATGTGTTAATCGTGATGGGACCCTTGGGAAGCAATTAGAATTAGATGAAGTCATGAGGGTGGGGCCCCTAATGGCTTTATAAAAAAAAAGCGAGACCTAGGCTAGCACACTTGCTCTAAGTAAGTATCCTCTGCCAGGATACAATGAAGGGCAAAGTCCTTTAGCAACATTGGCATCTTGATACTGGACTTCCTAGTCTCCAGAACTGTGAGCTAAATAAACCTCTATTCTTTATCCAGTTAACTGGTCTGTGGTATTCAGTTATAGCAACAGAAAATGGTCTGACACAGTAGGTGACTCACAATTAACTGCTGGCCTCAAAACAGGGGCCAGGAGAAACTACGCACATTTCTTTGCTGAGACCCAAGTCTTACAGCTTCAGGGTTTTACTTTCCTGGATGACTGGTGGAGGCTCAGGGAAGGGTGAAAATTCATTTTCTTTCCACAGGAAGCTAATACTTGGGGAACCCTCAAAGGAAAAGAAAAGACAATGGCTTTTGTATATTTACCGACTAATAAAATGCCCCAGATGATGTACCGAAGGATGGTTTTGTGTTTTCTACAAAAATCACAAACTGCATTGTATTTTCTTTCGAAATATCTGCAACACAAAAGCAGAAAGGCAAGTAGAAGTAATTGCTCAAAATGTGAAATAAACTGGCAGGCTAAGACTAGACTCGACTTTGTAAAACCAGCAGGTAAACAACAAACACATTCAGGAGGCACGTGTCTTACAAAATAGGAAAGGAGCTGGGGGTTTAGCTCAGTGGTGCTGCTGCCTGCCTTGCACGCCCAAGGTCCCGAGTTTGATCCCCAG